ATTATTTATTCTAGCCCATAATCTATCTTTAAGAAAGGAAAACACTTGAATTAATGATTCATGAATTCATTACCAAGTGTGAAAAATTCATAATTATAAATGCGAAAAAATTTATAAATGTGATTAAAATAATGTCTGAATGATGCTATGTTAAGTGATTAAAAAACTTAAATAATGGTAAATGCTTCGGAAAAGGACTTTGCATATTTTATGGATATATTCTTATGATGTATCAAATGATCATTTGGATTATTAAACGATTATACTTGTAGAATAAGTGTACGACATGCCTAATACATTGTCTAGCAGTACTTCAATCATACGAGATTTTTGGTTATATTGAGATATCCCAGTATTTGGCGCATGATTATTATTGCCGATGAGCCCAATATGGCTTTCAAGCCCAACATTCGACACATTTCTCTTAGACGACTTCTATACTTACTAAAGTTTATTTGGGTTAAACACGTAATTAAAATAACTAATGTTATATAAATTTTTACCATGTTTCATTATCAAATTATGTGCTTGTATGGAAGTATATTTATGCATGGAAAAAGCATAAAAGCGAACAAACATCAAAGTAAGGAATATTACCTCTAACCCCTTATGAACATTTTAGAAAAATTATATGTCTCCCAATCAAGCTCATAAAACAAGCAAGTCCGAACAAAGCAAGAGAAAAGGGACAAAAGATCAGGTTTTGTGGATTTTTGGTTCGCAACTCGAGTTCAGTAATTGAGTTCACCTACTTATTTATTGAATAGGAATCAGAACCAAGCAGTCTTTTCCATTGTGAAATAAGAGTTGACTAATTATGGAAAAATATATTTTTGTCAATTTTTTGGCTTTAGTCACTATTCTGAAAGAAATAGTGTCATGTGATTGAAAAAATGGTTTTAGTCGCCAATTTGATTAAAAAGTGGCTTTAATCACCAATTTGGTTGAAAAATGGCTTTGGTCGCCATGTTTGTGAAAATGTTGCTTTGGTCGCCAAGTTTGTGAAAAAGTGATGTTAATCGCCAATTTGATTGAAAAAGTGGCTTTAGTCACTATTTGAAAGAAAAAATAGTCACTAATTTGGTTGAAAGATGGCTTTGGTCATCATGTTTATGAAAATATGGCTTTAATCGCCAAGTTTTGTGAAAAAGAGACCTTAATCACCATTTTAAAGGAAAAAATTTTATTTTTCCTTTAGTTGCCAAGTTTTAAAAAGAGAAATGTTTTTCACTTTAGTCACCAAAATGAGAGGAAAATTGTTTTGAATTTACTTGCCATGTTTGAAAAAATATTTGGCTTTAGTCGCCTTTGATTCAAAATGAGCATCTGGCTTTAGTGATGAAGCGATGTGCAGAATAGGTGCAAAGCAACATGCAATCTTCACAACACACAAGACAATAAGCAATCCTTAATATTCATCTATTTCAAGCATATAAGTCATATTCATTATCATTTTGATGCGGAGCAACTAGCACTTCAATATATGGAAGACTTGCATTGCTGCATATCCAAGAAAAAGGGGCACGACCATGCCATCTCCTGCACGCCCGTGCTCGTCTCTAGAAGTCCAGGACATGGCTGTGTCATGTCAAACACGCCCGTGCCGATAGGTCCAATTTTGATTCGAACATAGGCACGCCTGTGTCACTCCAGGCACGCCTGTGTTCTGGAAGTCCAGGGCGCGCCCCTGCTGCTAACCTCACTAGGGTTTTTTCCAATTACGACTATTGTGTTATTTTTTTAGGGTTTTATGTTTTTAGCCTAAACCTATAAATAGGTTATTTTGTTACGATGAGCATATTAATATTCTTTGATCATTATTCTTATTTAATAAACTTTTTTAAGAGTTTAGTTCTTTAATTTATTCGTCAAATCAAACGTTATTGATCAAAACTCCTAACGGAGTATAATTGTTATTCTCATTCACGTAACCATTCTGCGTCACATTCAAAAGCTTAGAGTCTCATATTGAAGGCAATCGTAATAAAGAAGTAGAAATAAGAATTTGTAGGATCATTCTCAAAATGCTGAGGCATAACTGTTGTACCTAATGCATTGTCCTAAGTTGAATAATCATTTAATAAAACCTAAGTTAATCGAACATGTAATCTTAATTAAATTTAAGTTAATCATGTAATTAATTAAATCCTACCCTAATTAGGCTTTTATTTAATCCTAATAATGAATCTAATTAATTTAATCTAAGAAATCATGAATTTATTTTCACTCAATGTCCCTCAATTTAGGAGTGTATCACTTTATTGATACATTAATTTTGTCGCTTAAAACTGACCGAACTTACATTTTTGTAACACTAAAAGGCTTTTATCTATTTGTGTTCAAAAACACACTGGAAAAATGACATGGCACGCTGAAGTGTAAAAAAATGATAAATTAATCAGTGTGGGTCCCACTAATTGCTATCTTCACTTACCCCCTTCACCTCTCTTTTCTCTCCCTACTTTTCTATCCGCCTTAACCGCCAATCTCTGCGTTATCTCCAACCATTAACCAAAGAAGAAACTATTTATGAAACAAATTTCCGAAAATAAATTCCCACTTTTACATAAATTTTTTAAGGCTCTCCCACCATTTCCAGGCAACCAAACAAAGAACACCAAGAAACAAGGAAGAATATTGTTTATATGCTATGATTAAAAAAAAATCGAAAGAAACTACACGAAACAAATGAAAAGATAAAAAAAAAAAAAAAAAAAAAAAAAAAAAAAAAACCTGCAAAAAGTAATACCCAGAAAGATAGAGAGTTTCTCTCACCTTTGATGCTTCAACAAGTCTCTCTTTTATCTTTCTCTATCTTTATTTAATAAATCTTTAATTTTTGAATTTCACCTTATTTTAAAAACTAAAAAAAAAAAAAACATTTCTTTCTTTTGTCCACAAATTACCGTTGTTGAAGGTTACAGTTGTTGGATTTGATGACAGATTCAGTAATTATGTTTCATCTCTTGCCATGGGATCGAACAAAACCCTTAAAATCAAAACCCAAAAACTTGTTTACTTTTTTAGATTTCACCGTGAATTTGACGTTGTGGCTGGTGTTTTTAGACTTTTTAGTTGGAGCGGCAGTCGTAGAAAGCAGAGAGAGAGAAAGAGAGAGAGACGGGTAGAGAGGTAGGTGAAAATAGCAATGAGTGGGACCCATGCTGATTTGGCATTAATTTATCATTTTTTTTACACTTTAGCGTGCCATGTCATTTTCCAGTGTGTTTTTGAACGAAATAAATAGAAGACCCTTTAGCGTACAAAAATATAAATTCAGTCAGTTTTAGGTGACAAAATTAAGATAAGGTACTGTAAAGTGATACACTCCTAACTTGAGGGACACGGGGTGAAAATAAGCCTGAATTTAATTACCTCGAAGCTAACCTAATTACACATTTAATCTAATTAAGCGCCTAATTAACGTAACTAAGCATTTAATTAAATCTAAACTAATCTAATTAGGCATTACATCTAAACTAACCTAATTAGGCATTTAACTAAACCTAAACATGAATAATTTAATCATCTAATCTAACAAAGCATTTAAAAGAAAAGGGAAACGGGTCTACCTATCAAAGCATGCCTTGTTGATCGAGCACCAAATCGGGTCCAAATCTTCAACTCGAAGAGTTCTTAGATTAAAGGTAATGAAATTACTTTTTTATTTTGATTTGCGATATGTGGTGTTCATGCTCGAGCTGGAAATGGTACTCTGATAAAATTCTCCTGATAATAGCAACTTTATATTTTGAACCTCTATTGATCTAACCACTCTATGATATTACTATTTTTAAGTTCACACTAAGAAGATTAATATATTAATTAATACATTTTTTACTCAGTTTTTCCTTTTTCTGAAAGAGACTTAAATAATATTATACGTTACACAATAATGGTAGCATTCACTATTCAAGATAGTTTGATCTAGTGGTTGAAGCACATTAAATCTTACACTTCTCCATCTTTTATATTTTTATAAAAAGTGAAAAAATTAATCTAATTGATAATTAGCATAGGTCTTGATATTACAAGAAAAAAAAAAAAAAACTCACGTGCAATATTTTTTATAAATCTTCATTGCATTTTTTTTTAATTGTTTTTACAGCTAAAAAAGATTTCATGCATGTTTGTTCCAGAGTCCAAAAATGGTTGAACTTGGCCGATGATGATCTTTGATTTTCCCCTGGCAGAATTATTGTGTCTAAACGTCATGTCACTAGAAATATGTACTGCCAAGAGGATTAATTAGGATATGATGATACCATTCCTGCTCAAGCAGAGTGCTGTATTTGTTTATTATTTTATTTATTACAATAAAGTGATAAAATTTTCATATGTTATCACATAATTCAAAATTTGGCTTGCTTATTAGAAAAATAAGATTTGATTTGGTTCATAAATAAATCAATAGACCGGATTTAAACAAGTCTTATCCACAAATAAAAATATCATCCGAAATATAGAAAAAAAAAAAAAGAATTAATTTTGAAAAAAAAAAAGATAAATAAAATAGCCAACCAGGGCGGCTGGGTGCATTTTTGCTGATTTCCAGTCTTGTTTTGCCTTTATTCATGCGATTAGAGGTTCATTTCAATTCTGAGTTTTGTCTGTCATATACCATTGGAAAGTTTTAGATGTCTAAGTTTTAATCTAACTTGAATCACCAAAATATTCAATCTGTAGCTTAGTATATCATCAAAATAATGAAGAAAAGTCACTTTTTCAGTGTTTTTAGTATGCTGTGAGTTTGTGCTCATGGTTCTGGACCCATTTCAATCTTGATTTTAGCTCTACTTCTGCCTAATTTTCAGTGGTAAAAACTTTATGTTAAAGTTATTTTTACAGGAAAAGTTATAGCCAAAAGAGTGAGCAAATGTCGTTTTTGTTTGCTAAGGTAACAAAAATTATCATTTTTAAATTAGCACAATCAAACATATTTTTCTTGTTTAAAATCATAAAATTATATTAAAAAATAAAATAAAATTCTCAAACAAATAGAAAAAGGGAAAAGTTCGTTGGAGGAGAGGTCTCAACTCTTTTTCTAAATAAACCACCAGACTCTCTCCAACACAAGATTAACCTTGATGTTTATAGCAAAATTTAATGAATATCATTGTACAACTTGTGTAATATACTTACTATCGCCATTCTATACAAGTTATGCCTGAAAGCCATTTTGCAAACAAAATAAAATAAAATAAAATAAAATAAAATATGATACAAGGGACTCTACCCTTACTAGATATAATGAACTTGAAACATTACATGGCTTCATGAAATAATGTCAGCTTGTCATGAATCCCTTATCTTTATTTTTCTACAATCAACATCCAGGAAACATCCTTTACTGCTCAAGTAAATAGCCTCAGGCGTGTTGTTATAGGTTCCCGGCACAACGGACAACTTGAAATGGTTACACCGCAATCCCTGCATGTCTTCAGTACAAAGTTTGAAAGAACAAAATCATAATACTAATTAGAGAAAGATCAGTGCATATTGTATCAAAAAGTAGTGTAAAGCTATGTATCACTTTTGTCACAATTGCCATTATAAGGAACAAAGGCCAAATAAGATCACATTGTTTCGTGAAGAAAATTCTATTGTCAGTCGCTTATGAAATAATTTCCACAACTTTGGTCAACTTTTCATACTCAAGGAAGGAGAGAAAGACAGATTCCCAATATGTGATCCAGATTCCGATTTCATTGATTCAGTATAACTACATATTTCTGTTGAAAGTTTGGCATAACTCTTTGTAATGATTCCAAGAGAATGAGTTTACACATCAAAGTATCCGTGTATTGCCGAGGCTATGGTATGAAATTGCATTTGACTAATTCAATCCAATGCATTTTCAGATTGATACATGAATGAAGTATCATTTAAGAGCACGTACCGTATGACCGCATCCAAAGGCCAGGTCTTTTGGGTTTGTCAAGCAAATAGGGCACACCTTCAATAACAGAACTAGTTATCTCAAAACTCCGGATAATTTCAATATGGAACCAAAGTAGAGGATTTAGGGGAAAGAATAATACTGGTTGTTCTACTGGAGCTTTTGATTCAGCTGCTTCAAAATTTTTTGTGATTGGGATTGACTTAACTGCATTATCATGATCAATCACTTCCCGAGGAGGCGGAAGTGGCCTTGTACGAGGAAGGTGCCTTGACTCTGGACCACCACTTCCTGATTCTCCACTGCACGAGTAAAATGGTTTAATGTTCATACTCTCTGAATTGATAAAATATTAGATATTAAGTGGAAAATGCAGCCTCTGATTTACTTCAGATAATGAAGCCTTTGAGTAGCTCTGTACTGGAATGGAATTTCCATAAGCGCCGCAAGTGCAAAAGCTGTTTCTTTCTTTGATGCTTCAGTGTTCTCAGACATGATTTTTGTGAAGTTGACAAACTGAAGTGGAACAAATAAAGTTATCAGAATTTGTGAAATTGATTTTATTTAATAATGGAAAACAATCCATTTTCAAATATCAGAATTAGAGACTGCTTTACAAAGGATGCCTTATTAGAAACTAATTATTTAAAATGCTACTTTCAAATGTATTGGATATAACCATGATGCAAAAATATTCATGTCCAGACACTTTTTATTTCAATCCACTCAATCTCAACAAATGTCATTCCAATCAGAATTATTAGAGGCCCTTTCTCCTGTCATATTTCCCTAATCAATGTGGATGTCAATGTTTACAAAATAAAAATAATAATAGTAACTACGTCAATTGTAATCTACATTCTTAAGCTCATCCCACTAAGGAGTGCATCACATTCCTACCAGGCCAGTCTGGGGTTGATTAATGAACTGCCTGTTCAACCCCAGAACCAACTTGGGCCAGGCAGGTCGCACGCCTGTTAACAGCTCTGATCCAGACTCAATAATACAGCCAGTTTGTTACTACTAAATTCAAGAATAAAATGATAATTTCAAATTTGGAAAGTAATATAAAGATTTTTAGATCTTTTATCTTTTGTGTTCTTTTTCTTTTACTTTTTTCTTAATTTTTAATTATATTTTGAATCTAGTTATGCACAAAAGTTATGGAATGTTGTCTGAAATACCTGGAAGTTATCAAATGCACGTTGAGGAATGTTATCATCAAATTGTTGCATCGCATCCCATGGTCCATCCCCAACTCCAACCAAAATAATTGAGAGAGGATATTGGCTGTTTAATAAATTTCAAGGAATCAAGACAGCAAGAAAAAGAGAAAATCACAATTATACTTTGAGATTATGAATGACATTTTTTTTACCTGGCAGCAACAATGGAGTTCACAGTTGCTTGCTCCTGTGGACTGTAACTCCCAGGTGGAACATCAGGACTCCTAGTAACCTATAAAATATTGAATAATTCAGCAACCATCAAATAGATGAAGCTGAAATGAGTTTGACCAACAAGAGGAATTTAAGGACCTGGCCATCTGCAATGATGACAAGGACATGATATTGTCCATTGCAGTTCTCCACAATGTCAATTGCTGCATCAATAATGGGGGCAAAAGAAGTTGGACCTACAGATATGGATATGTGAAATTCTCATTATCAATTCTCTGCACTAATTGAGGTCTTTTACGGAAAGCTCAAGTTGGCAGGTAACAGTATATGACTAACACGCACTTGCCACTTGTCATGCATATAAAAGAATCCACTGCAACATATATAATCTCAGTTCTAAAGTTCCCACAAAAAGATTATTGTAAGAATTATGGATCAGATCAATAACCATTCAACTTACTGAATTAAGAAAGTGATTGTGTAAGAAATTATGTTGCAAAACACAGGGCCAAAGATTCAAAAGAAAACGAAATGGAAAATAAAAATTGATAATGTATCTAGCTCAAACATTATTCTTAATATAAATGAGGTGTTAAGAAATTATGAATTTTTGGTTCTTCAAAGAATGGAATTGTCAGGATTTCTTTGCTCATCCACACCTTTGGTTCAAATTTTTTCAAAACATGAATCTGAACAGGCCCTTGAACCGTGGGTTCTGGTTTCACCGCAGTTTTGGCATGATCCTAGTGTTAAATGTATTTTTTCTTTCAAAAAAAAATTAATTGGAATTCAATTCCAATGCCATACGTATTCCACCCCAACCCCCCCCCCCCCAAAAAAGGGAATTACAAACAAATATCTTATAATTTTTCCATAATTTTTTAAATACTCTCAGGGAAATATATCAATTCGCAATCCCCAAAAAAAAAAAAAGGAATTAAAAAAATATTTATCAATTTTATTTCCAATAATTTTTAAAATACTCATACAAGGGAAAATATCATCAACTTCGCAAATAAATAGAAATAATCAAATTAATTTCAAGTAAATAGTAATTCTAAACTTTATAAATTTGATTCACTAAATAAACTGTTACTAAAATTTGATAAGAAAAAAAAAATATTAACATTACAAATTAAAAAAAATATATATAAATATTCAATTAAAAATAGATTGTAATTGCTAAGTTTACAAATTTCAATTAATTCATTAAATATAGAAAATTACATTTTTTTTTAATTTGGGCTTGAATTTAAATTAAAAATAAAGTGGTTGAGCATTAAAACAAATAGCCTTGAATTCAGCCAAAGCCTAAAATTAGTTAAAAACTTTTTTTGCACATGTACTGAACTAAAACACTGGTTCCAAGCCAGTTCCATTTTTTTCTCTCTGCAGCAACATGAACCATAATCGGCTAGTGAACAGCTGGTTCTGGTTGAATTTTCAAAACCACTGGTTCTAGACCGGTTTCCACCAAAATCTAGTTTGGTTTCAGTTCAAACCAAACCAATGGCCATGCCCATCCACACCTATCTTTAAAGCGAACTCCAACATTTTTCTGCAAACATTATAACAATGTATATGTGCAGATTTCTTCCATGATCTCATTCAAGAGTACATGCATACATGCACTTCTCATATTCAAGGAATTATTCATCCCCAATTATTGATACGTACAAAGTCACATCTAAACGGACTAAAAGTAGAAGAATCAACAATATGAAAAGATAAGATAATCTCCTCAGCCTATAAATTTTCAGGAAAAAAAAGAATGCAAGTCACATTTTGGAAATAAATAAAAAAGGCAGGAGAAGATTGTCAAGAACCTGACAACTTTAGGTGTGGAACAATCTCTCTATATCGGCTAAGAGCTTCCTCGAAACCATGGCATGGACGATGATCAGGATAAAAGCTGAATACATATTTATCATGTGTTGATGCTACCAAATATGGAAAGAATAATAAAGTCAGATAATCAATTCAGGAAAATTCACTACAAATATTAAAAAAAAAAAAATTGAAGCTATAAGTTGTTGCTAACCATCTCCAAATCCAAAACATGGTATCAAATTATCTTCGTCGAAGGGTGACAAAGTCCGACCAATGATAGAGATCGCTTGTTCATAAGGGTTTAGAGTGCTGCCAATAGCATGGAGGCTTCTCCGGTGAAAAGAATGCCTGCCTATAATTAATGGAATGAAAATTTTTGTTGTACTTATCAATTGCAAAAATACATAAAATTACAAACTATTTTCATCTTATACAGAAAGAAGAATCACCTGTCCAGTCATTACTCTTTGTGAAGTCAATACCAAGTATTAAATTTGATGATTCAAGACCAGCATCTCTTAGTGCAGAAATAACCTGGTGATACATCAAATATGTTCTTATTGAGTACCTTCCATTAGTTGTAGATAATATCATAATAATTGTGCAAAGTAAGACTACATCCATATTGACATGACTGGAACAAATGAAATTTGCAAATACCACCTGCCATCAGTTGAAATGTCCACCTTTCATCAGAGTTGTTTTTAATATATATATTTTTTTTTTCATGCTTTTGTAGGCTAGTGAAAAATATGTTATTAGCATAGTGAATATAATGCAATCAAAGAAATGTTGCATTATCAAATAATATAGCAACTTTTGAACAGTGATATGCACTAAGGGAAGATAGCATAAACTGGGAAATGATGTGACCATAGTATAACAAGGGTGAGTTATTGCCACAGCTTAGAAAATGAGAGAAAATTATTATGTTGATATGGAGATCTTATCAAAACTGAAATCATCTAAATTGACCATTATCTCTTCCTCAAGGCATCCATCTAAAGTGAAATCAATGCAGATATTATTGATTTTAAAAAATCATTATGTTGACATGAGATGAACATGGTGGCGGTTTGTGATAAATTGCAGAAGTGAATAAGGTAATAATTTCATGATCAAATCACATAAAATCACAAGAATTTGATTTTCTAGATTTTCTATAGTGATATTATAGATGCAGAAAGCTTATAGAGCGGGAAGAGTGAATTGGTTTTGATGATAACTTCTGGCAAAGGGTTTCATTTTTCAACAATTAATTATGAGGGTAAGGTTGGTAGCACAGTTGTATCTTATGGGTTGTGGCAATACAATCATCCATATAACAAATATAGGATAACTTTTTACATATAAGAAAAAATATTAGCACATTGGGGATATTTGTGAATTATAAAAATGAAAATGATATGGCAAGATCACGTACTAAACTGGAACACCGAGTCATGACTCATACGACGTTTTAGATGATGGGGTCATCTAGTCTACAATGTTGAAAATTGAGAATTTTCTTAGATAACTTTTAATTAATCTGCTTAGATACTTTTTGACTATACTTTTGGAGAGAAATTTGTATTTTATATTTTCTGTTGCGAGTTTGCTGTTACAAAAAGTCTACTAGTGTTAGGTAAAAGTATGGGTTTAGCTTGTGTAGTCAACTAAGCATAGGTTAGTTATGGGCTGAAGAGAAATATGGTGAACGTAAGGCTACAATCTGTTTTTTGTACTTTATAACTTGTAGTTAACTCTATAAGCCTCAAGTAATCAATGAAATATAGCTATTTGAAGGTTCAAATTACAGAACCAGTTTTGTTTGTGCTGAGTTTGTGAAGGTCCAGTTACAGAAACAGCTGTATGCATATCTGTGTGAGTTTCTTCAAAGCTATATTTCAACATACAATAGATGGGATTCTGGTGCAACAAACCCACAAGTTTTTTTAATCGAGCTTCTACAGAAACATAATATTAGGTTTCCATGAAAGATCTAAATGCATAGAATATACAACCACTTCATTAGATGCTTGGTGAAAAGAAGACACATCAGTTAGGTGATATATTTACTAAAAGCATCCAGTTGGAGACATTTTTAGTAAGTTGGAAACAATTGGTTATCAATCCCAACTTGAGGAAAGTCATGAGAAATGAAAGTCTAGGGCTGCAAATTTAGAACATAAAAGCCCACCCCAAGACATTCAAGGGCTTCTGCAAGTACAGACTTGCATGTTTTTTAATCTAGAATGTTCAATGTAAAACTAAATGCATTAGCTTTAGAAAATGTTATTGTAAAAATACACATAATACTATGCACAGTAAAATGACCGCAGTGCCAACCAGATCACCATATACTGTGATTCTTTGCCCTGCCATCTGGCCACCCAAGGAGAAAAATAAAACTCTTGCTTCTTAAATACTTAAGAAAAGATGCAGGTTGACATCAACAGTAACTGTTATGGGTCACCCTATGGGTTCATAAACAATAATTGACATATTTCCTCAAGAATAATTGCCAACATTATTATAAAGCCATATCACTCCAAAGTCCTTAAGGACAACAATCCAACCATAATATTCTTTCCAGATTATTCATATATAGCAATGAGAACTTTGAAAGTCCAGCATCCCAAAACAATTTGCCACTGCCTTTATAGAGACTGGCTATACCAAGAGCTTCTGCCCTGTATCATCATTCTGAACTCCCTCTTTCCTTCTCCACAAACCAATCACACTATTTATTAAACATCCAAGTAGCTTCACATAATATAACATTACACAAAATCTATGGTAGTCAAATTTTGAAATAAATTACTTAAAATATCCAAGAATTTTGCAAAACAAGCCCGTATAAATTTTGATAAAGACGTTAGCATAACATCATTGGTAATGAATTGAAGGATTATCCCTTCTATGGGGTGAGAAAACTGATTCTGTAAATATTTTCATAAGACATTTCCAGCTTTTAATTCACTGATAAGGAATTTGGGAGGAAAAGAGAGTTAAATCTTTTTAACCTTATTCTAGATACAAGCACTAGATACCAAATTATTCTCAAATAAGAAAAAGGGGAAAAAGCCCTAAATAGAATTTCAAAATTAATAATCCCAGGGTTGAATAAGAATTTTACGAATGAATGAATAAGCTTCTATGTTAAAAATGTAAAACTTTTTGTCCCTCTTCTCTTATCTGAGTCTGTCAAACCTTCTCCTAGCTATTTTTTTTTTTTTTTTTTTTTTCTGGTTCCTACTTCAACTTACTGGTGAAAAGCAATGAAGCTACCTCATCACTGTAAAATCTAATGTTAATAAGATGCAAAGTATAGGGCTAGTTACACTAAAGGCATCTGTATTACATTCTTGCTTTGAAGAAATCTCAATAGGATAGCAATACCAAGTAATACTAATTGGAAAGCTCCGAAACAAGCTAAGCAAATGGAATATATTCAAATTTTATTGGGCCAGCCAAGATCTCCAATGAAAACCATAATTATTCGAATTTGTCACCAAAACAATAAGACCGAAGGAACTCACAAATCAATAACCATCAGACTAAAATAGAAAATCAGAATTTACAATTCTAATATTTAAAAAAAAAAAAAAAAAAAAAAAAAAAAAAAAAAAAAGAAGAAAAAAAAAAAAAAAAAAAAAAAGGACTGACAACCGGTTTTTTTGTTTATTTCTATTTATAAGCTGTTTCACATTGTCATTTTTCAGTTCTCTCAAATTACTTTCCAGTTTCACTGTTGCTCCAGTCATGTTGTGCTACTTGTTCTTGACAGAAACTACTGTGCCAGCAAGTTTCTTAACAAATAGCTTGTTCTCTTTTCTTAACAAAAGAGAAAAAAAAAGGCTCTGTATGTAAGGATCATATATAATAATACCTGGTCTAGGGAGTTGAAATTGTCAGCTATGTATGTTGATTGCTGTCTATGCTGATTTTGCTGTATATGCCGATTTTGCTGTATATGCTGATTTTGCTGTATATACTGATAGTGCTGCTGATAATTATAATCCACTGGACTTCCCGTATAAGAAGTGGGTTGTGAAATATCATCATGAGAATCATCAAAACTTGAATCTGAATTCCCCATACTTTTAAGAAATTCTACACGATAAAAAAATGTATTCTAGTTAGTTTCTGCAGCATCTTAACTTCATCTAATGCCATTACGTTACAAAATAACATTGTCAGCAGGAATTCCTACTGCAATAAGCACAGATTGTGATATAAGCACATACTAAAACCAAAATTAGCATGGTACACAAAATTAATAGTCCCTCCATTCCATATTAAGTGTCCATTTAGAGAATTACACTAGGATTAAAGAAATGATGTGAAATCATTAATACGGCTAATATTTTACTAAAATGTTCTTCTGAAAAAAGATAAAAAATTAATTGCATTAACTCATGGCAATAAGGGTATATTTGGAAATAGTTGTATAATGTTATTTTGATTTCATCAAAGGGCATTTAGGTTGGAATTTTTTTTTCTTTTTTTCCTAAATAGACACTTAATATGGAATGGAAGGAATACTTATATAATTGATTTCATGAAAAAAAATTATTATTATTATTAATTAATGAAATAGGGTGAGCTTGGAATTGATCCCCAAAAAACTGTACAATTTCTCGACAAGATAGTGCTCCAACTGGATTTTGTTCGCTGCTAATCCTCCATTTGAGACCAAAAGGTTTAGATAAAAATTTTTCTATACACTAATGCTACCTTCCATAATGGAAAGTAACGTGATGTAATAAAATTAAATATACATTTTAATGTAAATTTATACTAGAGATGCATTTGATTACGCTACATGAAATTCCATTGGCTTATCAGGCATAGTCTAAAATTCAACTAAAAATTGGAACCAATTTTCAGACGCTATGCACCCAGAACAGCTTTTGAATGGAAATTTAATTTCCCCAGCTGCAAGCTGCTTTCTTTTCTTCGTCCTAAGTTGTTAGATTTCATACAAAATATAATAGTAGCAGAAAACAGAGGAAAGAGAGAAGAAAATAGAAATAAATAAACTGTCCCTTAAGAAACCAAACTTTACATCAGATACACTTAAATTTCAGAAAGATACAGAGAAGACAAACTAAATCCATGTGTTTCTCCTCAAATATTCACCAACAACACCATCTATACTATAAACGAAAACTCCAAGAACAAAAACCTATCGAAGTCCTAAAATCTACATGGTAAACAATTTCAGAAATAGAGAGTGAGACCAGAAATAAAGACAGAAAGCATATACCTGTATACAGAATCTTCAGAGAGAAATGGCAAAGCTGGATCCTTTGAGGATTATACAGCTTTTATGGTCGTCTTTTTGTCTTTTAAAAAAGACTTTGGCAAGAAATGCAAATAAACCAAGGGCGGAAAAAAAGTCTTTATTAATCGGGGTGGACGAAAATGGTCAAACTTATCAAACCGAATCGAACTCGGATTCGAATATATTTAAACTGATTGAGTTTGAAAAGCCAAACTTGGAAAATGCATAAAGTCACTTTAATTACGTTTGACAGAAACTAATAAAGTCTTTATAAAGTCACTTTAATTGACCGATGGATGTTTGAGTTGGATTTCCATTGCGTGCACATTTAAATTTCTAACTTTTGCACTATTTCGCTTTTGTTTATCGTTTTATGTTTACTGTTGTGCAAGTTCGGTAACATTCTCATATTTTGAGGGTTATGCACAAAAATAAGAGATTGATGGTGTTATTTTTATAGTATTTTTAATATAGTTTTAATTATTTTATTTAGTTTTTATTTTATTTTTATGTATATTTTTATGTAAAGTTTCCTTGAATTATAATTCACTTGATCTTAAAGGAAGTTATAGTTTTGACACAGAAAAGAACAAAATAAAGCAAAACACTCGGGCCCATGCTGCTAATCAAGTGCTATTTTGAATTGAGAATACCAGCTAGTCCCTATCACTTACATGAGCCCGCCTAAGATACTTTCTTGATGTACAAATCAAGTTCTAATCCTATTTAGGCGCATGGAAGAATCATAATTGAGAAGAAATTCAAAGTCTAAACAGTTTCCTATTTCCAAAAAGATTTCTCAAACAGTTTCCTATTTCCAAAAAGATTTCTCACTTAATGAGGACTTTATTTCCTAAACGAAGTCGGATTTTTTCTCAGAAAGTCTATATAAAGAAAGAACCCATTCATTGTAGAAGAAATCTCCAGTTTTGATAATTTTTGTTCTATTTAATTGAGAAGAAATTCAAAGTCTAAACAGTTTTCCTATTTCCAAAAGATTTCTCAAACAGTTTTCCTATTTCCCAAAAGATTTCTCACTTAATGAGGACTTTATTTCCTAAGACTTTATTTCCTAAACGAAGTCGGATTTTTTCTCAGAAAGTCTATATAAAGAAAGAACCCATTCATTGTAGAAGAAATCTCCAGTTTTGATAATTTTTGTTCTATTGTTTTTCTCTCTCTCTCCAAGACTTCAAGTGTTCAAGATTTATGCCAAGATTCAAGGAAGCCATCCAGAATTAATTGTTGACTAGTCTCTAAACTCTTAATCTCGTTTTATTCTTTCATTATTCCGATTGATTATGGAATTTTTATCAAGTATTATTGAGTTTTATTTAATTACTATGTCGAACTAAACTCTCATACTAATGATTTGATGTAGCTTAATTTATTTTCCAATTTATAATATTAGATTTGTTTTTCTTTGTTCAAAGTATAATTTATTATTAAACTTAATGCTTTCAGGCCATGCAAGAGTTTCTCACCTGGATTGGGATTTTATTCATTAAATCATTAATCGAAGAGAAAGTGTCTTTGATATGAAAAACAAGGTAAAAATTATCATGAAATAAACAACTTGATGCAGAAGCTATATGGTTTAATCTCATGAGGGTTTTCTAAGTTAATGACCTTAGGTATAAATTCACAAACAAACCATAAACTTAATGATTTAATTCATGTTATGGATTGCAACCTATTGGATAGATAAGTGATTTACACCGGGTTATAAATAGCTAACAATACATCGGAGAGCTTGTTTTAGTGATTTTAAAGGATTGTTTTCCCTACTTGATAACAATGAAAATTGGATTACAAACTAATAAATAATTGGAAAAAAATTAAGTGAAGTCAAAATCCCCATAAGCTTAAATCCTTGATTTTTATAAAAAAATTGTCTTGCTTGAATTTCTTTTTATTATCTTTAATATTGTCGAATTTAGTTTCTTAAAAATAATTTTCGCTAAGTCGTCGTTTTAAATAATAATAGGTTAACATAATTTTTAACTTGGTAATACAATCCTTATGGATACGATACTCTTTCTCATTCTTAGTATTATTGTTGCGATTTCCATACACTTACGAAAAACGCACTGTTAAGGTTTGGCTCATTGCGGGGGAATTGGCGTTACTAATATCAATACTAATTACCCTATATTAATTTAAGACATTCATTTTATTTTTATTTAATTTTTTTAGAAGATTTTTTTTCAGGTGTTATGCAAAGAAGATCAGGTAGGACTGAATCCCTTGATCTTTTGATCTAGAAAATCGAAAAAGACTTATCGTAGGAACAACGCTATTTCTAGAAGAGCAACGTGAAGAGTAAACCAAAACAGCAAGCAAACATTGGACGATGAAAGTTTAACCCTCAGGGACAGACTTCAACCCCTCATGTACGCCTTGCGGATTACACAACACCTCTCTCAATGGAACAACTTCGAGTATTACTAATTTAGGGTGGAAAGCTAACAATTTTTGAATATTAAACCCTACAATTATCACAAATGCTTTTCAAACCTCAATTCAATAATGGAGGTTTTTACCTAGTAAAGATCCTAATGCCACATAATTCACAAATTTTCTTAGAGATTTGCGATACTTTTTAAACAAAATGGAGTTTTCACTGAGATCCATAAAATAAGACTCCTTTCCTTTCACTTCTTAGCGGACAAAGCACGAATCCTGGTTTACAAATCATGGCCCTCTGGAAGTTTTTAACAATGTGGGAGGAATTAGCCATAAATTTTTAAGCAAAATTCTTTTCTATCTCAAAGACCACAAAACTGCGCAATGAGATAATGACCTTTGTCCACCATGATCAAGAGAGTTTTGTACGAAGCTTGGGAGAGATTCAAGGACTTAATTGAGAAAGTGCTCACACCACAGCCTGCTAAAGTGGTTGCAGATACAACTTTTATTATGCATTATCTCCTAAAACATTAAGATTACTCTAGATGCGCTGCAGGTGGATGTTTTGAAAAAGAAAAGAAATTGAAGAGGCATATGACTTTGATAGAGAGATGGTAAGCAATAGCCATATATCAAAGCAACTCGCGAAAAGAAAAAAGACTGCAGGAGTTTTATGAGATTGATGCCATCACTGCACTCAATGCCAAGGTAGACAATATGGTAAAAAAAGTTGACTTATTGACTACTAACTCGTTAATCTATTGTGCAAGCTTGCGACAGGTGTAATGGACAACATGAGATTGGATAATGCATGTTAGACTTCTTTAAATCCCACAACTTTGGAGGAAAGTGAACTATGTGATGAATCAAGGAAGAAGAATTACCATACTCTAATCCTTACGATAACAGGTTGAGGACTCCGTCGAATCTTTCGTATGGGAAATCCAAACAATGCCTTGAACGCACGCACCAGGTTTCTACCTTAAAGGAAAAAGTCTCATGAATGATGCTCCTTAACTGCCTCTCTCTACGAATCGCACACGGACTTTATGAACGAAGCCCGAGAAAAAAACAAACAAGCTGGATAAACGGAATTGGAGATTCAACTAGGGTAGTTGCAAATATGAATGGGCCCCGACCCAAGTTACGTTGCCTAGTAACACTGAAAAAAAATCCCTAAAGAACAGAAGTACAAACTATCACCTTGAGGCGTGGCAAACAGTTGGAGGATCCACCCAGGATGGAGAAGAGAAAGGAAGAGGCAGAAAAAAAAAAAATCCCCATCCATTGGACCTAGAAGATAAAGAGGAGTAAATACCCTATGTCCACTTGTTCCTCTCCCACAAAGGCTAAAGAAACACAAGATGACAAAGTTTCCTCAAATTTCTTAATGTCTTCAAAAAAAGCTTTCAAATCAAAACATACCTTTTGCTGAAAGCCCTTGCTCAAAGATTCCCAGCTATGCAAAATTCCTAAACAGAGATCCTGAGCAATGAAAAGAAAGATTGATGATCAAATGGAAGATAATGTTGAAACAGAGGAGTGGTCGTGCAATCATTCAAAATATATTACTCCAAAAATTAAAAGATCCAGGAAGTTTTTCTATTCCCTTGTAATATTGAAAATCTTGATTTTGAAAAAGGCATTAGCAAAATTTAGGTGCTAAAGAATTAATCTTATGTTTTATAAAGTTTTTTAAGATGCCTAGGGATAGGAGAGCTAAAAACCAAACAGATTGTTCTCTTACAGTTGGCAGACCGATCAAATCCAATTATCCAAGAGGAATTATAGAAGATGTGGCTCATCAAGGTAGGTAAATTTTATCTTTCCTGTTGATTTTGTTATTCCTGACATATGATGAAATATAAGAAGGACACTATAATCCTTGGAAGGCCTTTTCTTTGCAACTGTAAGAGCATTGAATTGATGTGATGAAGGTAAACTAACCTTTACGGGTAGGTCAAAAGGAAGAGTTGTTTTTATGCTCTTAAATCTTGTAACTTCCATGAATTATCGGCTATTTTAGGATTGATGTGGTTGATGAATGTGTTTAGGACGCTTTTCATATTAAAAGATAAATAATGATCATTAAAATAAATTGTGATACTCAAATTTTGAGGCTAAAGAGCTAGTTTTCCCGACTGCAAACAGTCCGGCTTGGACGAAGGCCATTTTTTGGAAATTTACGGAAGGTATGCATATGGTACCTTAAAACGGGTCCGGGACGTCGCGAGGATCGCGAAAGCCTGGTCCTGGAATATTGTTTGGTAGGTACCGAAAACCCTGGACAAACGCCTCCGGAACGTAAACCTATAAAGTGCTCCGGCGGCCGCTGGGCTGTGGCTGCGCCGTAGCGCTTGGCGGGCCCGATGAGCGCCTTGATCCGCCGCGGCCGTCGGACCTGCACGCGCGGCAGGCCCGAGACTCGCGCAGCCAGCGTGAAGGGTAGGCGAAGCGGCTGCAGCGGTCCCTCACCGCGGTGGACGAGTCCAGCCGCCGGGATCAGGACGGCCCAGCAGCCAAGCCTCCGGCGACCACAGCCGCCCGGGCATACGGCCAAGCAACGATCGCCGCCACCGGCGGCCAGCTCGCCGGGATCAGGCGGCCCAAAGTCGCCAAGCTATAGCGACCCAGCCGCCAAGGCCTACGGCGCCAGGCACCGGCGGCCCAGCTGCCGGGAATCAGGCCGGCCCAGCTGCGGGCCACCGGCGGCCCGGGCCGCCGAAGACAA